GGGTCAGGAGACCCCAAAATCATCGTGGACACCAAAAATGTCCATGGGAGTCCATGGAAATCCATAAATGTCAATGGGAACCCAGAGGAACCCATGGAGAACCTCCTGAGATGCCCTGGAGAACCTCCAGCTGCTTCTCTGGGGGGGGAAACGGGGGGTCAGGAGACCCCAAAATCATCGTGGACACCAAAAATGTCCATGGGAGTCCATAAATGTCCATGGGAATCCAGAGGAACCCAGAGGAACCCATGGAGAACCCATAGGAACATCTGGAGAACCTCCTGAGGTGCCCTGGAGAACCTTCAGGAGCTACTTGGGAAGACCCCAAAATCATCGTGGACACCAAAAATGTCCATGGGAGTCCATAAATGTCCATGGGAATCCAGAGGAACCCATGGAGAACCCAGAAGAACATCTGGAGAACGTCCTGAGATGCCCTGCAGCACCTCCAGCTCCTTCTCTGGAGGGAAAAATGGGGGTCAGGAGACCCCAAAATCATCGTGGACACCAAAAATGTCCATGGGAGTCCATGGAAATCCATAAATGTCAATGGGAACCCAGAGGAACCCATGGAGAACCTCCTGAGATGCCCTGGAGAACCTCCAGCTGCTTCTCTGGGGGGGGAAACGGGGGGTCAGGAGACCCCAAAATCATCGTGGACACCAAAAATGTCCATGGGAGTCCATAAATGTCCATGGGAACCCAGAGGAACCCATGGAGAACCTCCTGAGATGCCCTGGATCTCCCAAATTCTCCTGAACATCCCTGGGATCTCCAGAGCCTTCTCATAAGTGACCCTCCAACATCTCCAGAACCTTACAGGACCATCCTGATCCCCCTGGACCTTCTGGAGATTCTCCAAGGTGACCCTCCAACATCTCCAGAAGCTTCCAGGAGCTCCCAGGACCATCCAAATCCCCCTGGACCTTCTGGAGACTTCCAGAACCTTCTCCAAGGTGACCCTCCAACATCTCCAGAACCTTCCAGGACCATCCAGATCTCCCTGGACCTTCTGGAGATCTCCAGAACCTTCTCCAAGGTGACCCTCCAACATCTCCAGGAGCTCCCAGGAGGTCCCAGGAGGTCCCAGGACACTCCAGATCTCCCTGGACCTTCTGGAGATCTCCAGAACCTTCTCCAAGGTGACCCTCCAACATCTCCAGGAGCTTCCAGGAAGTCCCAGAAGCTCCCAGAAGCTCCCAGGACCCTCCAGATCCCCCTGGACCTTCTGGAGATCTCCAGAACCTTCTCCAAGGTGTCCCTCCAACATCTCCAGAAGCTTCCAGGACCATCCAGATCCCCCTGGTCCTTCTGGAGATCTCCAGAACCTTCTCCAAGGTGACCCTCCAACATCTCCAGGAGCTCCCAGGAGGTCCCAGAAGCTCCCAGAAGCTCCCAGGACCCTCCAGATCCCCCTGGACCTTCTGGAGATCTCCAGAACCTTCTCCAAGGTGTCCCTCCAACATCTCCAGAACCTTCCAGGACCATCCAGATCTCCCTGGACCTTCTGGAGATCTCCAGAACCTTCTCCAAGGTGACCCTCCAACATCTCCAGGAGCTCCCAGGAGGTCCCAGAAGCTCCCAGAAGCTCCCAGGACCATCCAGATCCCCCTGGACCTTCTGGAGATCTCCAGAACCTTCTCCAAGGTGTCCCTCCAACATCTCCAGAACCTTCCAGGACCATCCAGATCTCCCTGGACCTTCTGGAGATCTCCAGAACCTTCTCCAAGGTGACCCTCCAACATCTCCAGGAGCTCCCAGGAGGTCCCAGGAGGTCCCAGGAGGTCCCAGGAGGTCCCACCTTCCACGATGAGCTCGGCCTCGGCCTCGCCGCCGTTGGTGAGGATGCGGTAGCGGCCGGTGTCCTCCTTGGTGGCCTCGTTGAGGATCAGGAAGTGCTTCTTGCCGTCCTTCTTGAAGCGGTACTTGAAGGCGTCCTCGCGGGTCAGCTCCACGCCGTCCTTCGTCCTGCGGGTGGACACGCCGTGGGCGTGGGGTGGACTCGGGGTGGACACGGGGTGGAGGTGGAGATGGACATGGGGTGGACACAAGGTGGACATGGGGTGGACACGAGGTGGACATGGGGTGGACACGGGGTGGAGGTGGAGATGGACATGAGGTGGACATGGGTGGACACGGGGAGGACATGGGGTGGACGTGGGGTGGATTTGGAGTGGACATGGGGTGGACATGGGGTGGATTTGGAGTGGACATGGGGTGGACATGGGGTGGACAGAGGTGGACGTGGGGTGGATTTGGGGTGGATTGGGAGATGGACACAAGGTGGACACGGGGTGGACCCATGGTGGACATGGGGTGGGTGTGGGGTGGACATGGGGTGGACACAAGGTGGACCCATGGTGGACATGGGGTGGGTGTGGGGTGGACATGGGGTGGACACAGGGTGGACCCATGGTGGACATGGGATGGACAGAGGTGGACACAAGGTGGATGTGGGGTGGACACAGAGTGGACATGGGGTGGATTTGGAGATGGACACAGGTGGACTTGGGGTGGAGGTGGGGTGGACAGAGTGGACACGGGGTGGACATGGGGTGGGCGTGGGGTGGGTTTGGAGATGGACACAAGGTTGACACAGGGTGGACATGGGGTGGACCCATGGTGGACATGAAGTGGATG